AGCCTCCTGAGTTGCTGAGATTACAGGTGTGTGCCACCATGCCCAGCATCTAACTTTCTTTTCATTAGTGTTAACATGATATCTCTTTCTCTATTCCTTTTCATTTATATGTTTTATGTTTCAATTGTATTTCTTGTAAATAGCATGTTTGGGCCTTGGTTTTTTATCCCTTCTGAAAATATCTATCTCTTAATTAGAATATTTAACCAATTGGCACTTAAAATAGGCATTAATATGGTTGAATACCTATCATTTTGTTGCTGTTTTCTATTTGTTGCCCTTGTTTTTTTTTTTTTTTTTTTTTTTTGTACTAGGGATTGTACTAGGGGCATTTAACCACTGAGTCACATCCCTGACCTTTTTTTTTTAAAAAAAAAATATTTATTTATTTTTTTAGTTGTGGGTGGACATAGTACTTTGTTTTATTTATTTATTTTTATGTGGTGCTGAGGATGAAACCCAGGGCCTTGCACATGCAAGGTGAACACTCTACCACTGAACCACAACCCCAGCCCACATCCCCAGCCTTTAAAATTTTTTTTTGAAACAGTTTCACTAAGTTGCTTAGGGCCTCACTAAGTTGCTGAGGCTAGCTTTGAACTTGAGATCCTCCTGTCTCAGCCTCCTGAGCCACTGAGATTACAGGTGTGAGCCACCATGTCCAGCTTCTTGCCCTTGTTCTTGTTCTGTTTATATCTTCTATATTTTTCTGTTTTTTATTGTTTTAATTTAGCATTTTATAGGATTCCATTTTCTCAGCATATTAATAATAATGTTTAAAACTGTTTTTTATTGATTGCCCTGGAGTTTAAAATATACATTAACATCGAATCCCAGTTTATTTTCAAATAATGCCATACAAGATATGCACTATATCCACATTTATTACAATGCCTTATAATAACAAGTTTGTCCTAATCACTTCTTTATTTCATCATTGATGTTATTCATTTCACTTATATATAAGCATACCTAAGTGTATACATATACACAAATAATCAAATACATCATTGCTATTTTGAATAGTTTATTGTCTCTTAGGTAAGTTAAGAATGAGAAAAAAATGAAAATTTTTATTTTGTCTTCACTTATTCCTTTTCTATTCTTTTCTTGTTTGTGTACCTTCAAGTTTCTGATTTATATCATTTTCCTTTTCTCTGAGGAACTTTTTTTTAACATTTATGGAAATCAGGCTTACTGTTGACAGTTTTTGTTTGTCTAAGGAAGTCTTAGTTTTCCTTCACTTTTGAATAATAGTTTCACAAGGTACAGAATTTAAGGTTGGTGTTTTGTTCCTCAACATTTTAAATAGTTTACTGCACTCTTTTCTTGCTTGCATGTTCTGAGAAGTCAAATGTAACTTTTACCCGATCTCCTGAATAGATAAGCTGCTTGGTTCCTCTATCTTCTTCAAAGATTTTATTTTATTTGTCTTTTTTTAAAAAATTTTCTGGTGTCTGAATATTATATGCCTAGATTATTTTGCATTTATTCTCCTTGTTGTTCCCTCAGATTCCTGGATCTGTGTTTGGTGTCTGACATGAATTTTGGTGAAATTCTCAGCCATTATTGTTTTAAGTATGCCTTCCATTCATTTCTTTTTTTAAAATTAAATTAATTTTATTTTATTTTTTACACAAATGAAGCACAACTTTTCATTTCTCTGGTTGTACATGATGTAGTCACACCATTCGTGTAATCGTACCCATCCATACATGGGGTAATATTGTCCATCTTATTCCACCACCTTCCCTCCTACAGATCCCTTCCCCTCCCCACCCTCACCTCTGTTTAATCCAAAGTTCCTTCATTCTTTCCTTGCTCTCTCCATTATGGATCAGCATCCACTTATTGGAGAGAACATCTGGCCTTTGGTTTTTGGGGATTGGCTTACTTTGCTAAGCATGATATTCTCCAGCTGCATCCATTTACCTGCAAATGCCATAATTTTATTCTCTTTTAATGCGGAGTAATATTCCATTGAATATATATACCACAGTTTCTTTATCCATTCATCTATCGAAGGACATCTAGGCTGTTTCCACAGTTTAGCTATTGTGAATTGAGCTGCTAAGAACATTGTTGTGGCTATATCACTGTAGTATGCTGGGATTACAGGTGTGAGTGGGATAGCTGGGTCAAATGGTGGTTCCATTCCAAGTTTTCTAAGGAATCTGCATACCGCTTTCTAAAGTGGTTGTATCATTTTGCAATTCCACCAGCAATGTATGAGTGTGCCTTTCCTCCCACATCCTCACTAGCAATTATTGTTGTTTATATTCTTGAAAACTACTATTCTGACTGGAGTGAGATGAAATCTTAGAGTAGTTTTGATTTGCACTTCTCGAATTGCTAGAGATGTTGCTTGCTTTCCTTTATTTCTGGTATTCCTATTACATATATTTGCTTCTCAGTTCCCACTCAGGTGGGACAGGATGGCTAGAGGGGAATGGAGTTGGGTGTTTTCCCTTCCTCCACACTGAAGGGTAGAAGATGGTTGGTGTTGAGCATTTCTCTTCTCCATGTCTGTTTAGCTCTCATGAAATTCTAATAACTTGTGTGCTGGTAGTTTCTCCTGAGGGCAGGACATTTTAAGAACAGACTGTTCTGGTGTTATTCAAAATGGCTACTTTCCCCCTCCTCCTGTATAAAGCATGAGGATATTGCCTCTGTTCTTGACTGGGACAACTTGTAGGGCTTTTGGAGATAAAACTCAAAGAAGTGTGGCTGTATTCCCTTAATACTGACCCTGCCCCGGAGTTCTCAATTCTCAGGTATATCCATACTGAGCCCCTACCAATCTTGTCAATTAATGCTTCAGGTTTCCCTGCCTGGTCCTGATTCCTGTAGAGGCTTCTAATTGTGGGTCTTTCCTCTGATAAATTGTAATTCTCCTTGTCAGCTGTCACTCAACTTTTTGGAGTAGCAGTGCTCTTATGGCCTCACTTTTCTAACAGATCTAAGAAAAAATCTGTTTGCTATTTTTTCATTTTGTCTAGCTATTTACTTCCTGTTAGGATGAAGTAACAACATCCAAGTTCATTGTATGATGGACTGGAAATCAGAAATCATCTTTATTCTTTTTAATATAGTTGTTTACAATAAGAACTACTTTAACTGTATTCCCTAAGTTTTTATATGCTATGTATCATTTTAATTCATTCCACATTTTTCTCATTAGAAAATTTGTGTTTGTGCTTGGATTATCTATAGGGGACAATGTTTCTTTTCCATCACTGGATTAACTTCAGAGAATATCAATACTTTCAGAACCCTGTATTTATATTTTTAGAGAATAGTTTCTGAGGAATAAAGGAACTGAAAGTAGATAAGAGTGGCTGGGAGTGGGGGTTACAACTTAACCTCTAGCTTTTAAAGTTACCCTGTGGCCTGTAACCTTCTAAGTTAGTGATTCTTAACCAGCAGCAGTATTTCCCTTTAGATGATACTTGGAAATATCTGGACACATGTTTGGTTGCTATAATTGGGCTATGAGGTAGGACGCACCTTACATCTAGTGGGTAGAGGCCAGGGATGCTGCTAAACATCCCATGATGCACAGTGCATCCGCTCACAACACAGGGATCATCTGATCTGAAATGTCAGTAATGCTGCAGTTGAAAAACACCCTTTAAACCTCTTAAATTAATCAGACTATTTCCCACTCACCCAGCACTTGCCTGTATAGTAGCTCACTACTTGTTCACAATGGTCCCTGAGGTAGCTGAAATGTCACAATCTGAGATGAGGTGAGTTAAGCATTAAAACTTAAGTAACCTGTCAGTCAGTAGCAGAGTCAGGATTACCATCCTCCAGTCCAGTTGTTTCCTAGAAAATCCACAGCTAACTACCTGTGCCTCCACTTGCTATTCCATTCCACCTTTTAAAAGCAGACCATCATGCATTGCCTTGTGAGTACAGCCACTCTTTAGTATCTTTGGGTAATTGGTTCCACAACCCCCCTACCCAATAACAAAATCTGAATGCTGTGTTCCTTATATAAAAGGCCACACATAGTATTTGCATATAATAGTGTACATCCTCCTATATACTTTAAATAGTTTCTAACTACTTATAATACGTAATAAAATGTGAATGCTATGTAAATAGTTGTCATACTATATTATTTACTGAAAAGAAAAAATTTATACATGTTCAGTACAGATGATATTACTAAAAATATTTTCAATAAAAAATACTTTCAAGCCAGGTGCCATGACACATGTCAGTAATCCCAGTGGCTTGGGAGGCTGAGGCAGCAGGATTGCAAGTTTAAAGCCAGTGACTTAGGCCCTAAGCAACTCAGTGAGACCCTGAATCTAAATAGAATACAAAATAGGGCTGGGGATGTCGATGTAGCTCAGTGGTTAAGTGTCCCTGGGTTTAAACTCTGATACCAAAAAAAAAAAAAAAAAGGTGACTTTTTTAAAAAAGGTGACTTTTTTTGGTGTGTGTGTGTGTGTGTGTGTGTGTGTATGTGTGTTGCTGAGGATGGATTCCAGGGCACCACATATGCAAGGCAGGTGCTCTGCCACTGAACTATATACCCTTTCAAATATTTTGTGATGCTTGACATACAGTTATCCTTAAATTATCTTGGCATTGAATCTCTACATCTTAAGATAGTTGGTCTCAATTTTCTCATCCATAAAATGGGGATAATAATCCTTTGTTAACTAACTGAGCCCTTTCCTGAGAATCAAATTATTCAACACACATGAAAGTATTTTGAACATGTAAATGGAAAAGCTCCTCCAGATATGGGTGACTCCGAAAAATTGTGTTTGTATGAGTTATGCAATATAACCAGTTGTCAATTATTAGAATACCTTGCTAGATCAAAATAAAGTGCATTCAGATTCTGTGCTCCTTACTTATAGTGCCAACCTAAGTAAATAAGGCCTTTATTTTGCTAGTAATTTGGTTAAAATATCTAAAGCTATATTAGACCTTGGACTCTCTTGACAATTATAATACCTTAACCTTTTTTTTTTCCATAGGTGTTACAGAACATCTTGGACACTGAAAGAGAATATGCTAAAGAACTTCAGTCTCTTCTTGTTACTTACTTGAGACCCTTGCAATCCAATAACAAGTAAGTTTTTCCTTTGAAACTCCTTGCTAAATAAAGAAAGATAATGTCAGCATATGGAGTCATTACTCTTATGTCACTGAATAATTGATTTTGCCCTTTAGAAGAATTTCCACAGATCACAGGTTGCCAAGAACATGGTCAGGGCAACAGAAATTATGCAAGACGTTGCTCTGGGAGAGCTTGGCTTGCTTTCTGTGGAAGGAATGAGTAGATATGAATTTCTCCTGTTACAATTTTTTATTTTGTACATTTTTGTGTCTTTCATTATTTAAGTTTTTTTTTCAAAACATAATCAACAAATACTAATTGCACATATTTATGTGATACAGTATAAAGTTTTTTTAAAAAAAATTAGTTATAGACGGACACAATGTCTTTATTTTTTATTTTTATGTGGTGCTGAGGATTGAACTCAGTGCCTCACATGTGGTAGGCAACTGCTCTACCACTGAGCTACAGCCCCAGCCCAGTATGAAGTTTTAATACATATGTGATCAGATCCAGCAGATTGGTGTATCCAGCACCCTAAATATGTTTTCTTTGTGTTGGGAATTTTCAAAAGCCTCTCTACCAATTCTTTTTAAATATACAATTAATCGGTATCAACCATGTTACCCTATGGTGCTATTGAATATTAGAAGTCATTCCTCTTATCTAGTTGCACCTGTTAAACATCCTCTTCCCTTCCTCCTTCCTCACACCCTTCCCAGGTTCTGGTAACCATTATTTCACTCTCTGCATCTATTAGATGAACTTTTTTTTAATCTTCCATGTATCTAGTACATTTTAAAAGTGGCATGTCTTATTTACCATTACTAAAGACTTGTTGGTGCTTTTATTGAGAAAGCACATAAACTGTAAATTCTCGTGCACATTTGGTATTTCCTTGCCAGGACAGAACTTCTTTGCCATGCTGTGAGAGTGCAATGCATGTAGCATTTTGTAGATATTCATAACAACAATTCAAGACAGTCTTTCGTTGAGCAAATGTGAATGATAATGAGATATCAAAATGTTTATTTTTTATTTTTTATTAGTTGCTCATGACAATACAATGATCTTGACATATCATACATTTGAATCAAATGGGATATAGTTTCTCATTTTTCTGAGTGTACAGATTGCAGAATCACATTGGTTATACAGACATGTATATACATACAGCAATACTAGTGTCTATTTTATTCTGCTGCCCTTGTTCTTTAAAACAAAAATGTTTGAACCTTATTTTGGTGTTAGAAATTTAAAGTGATTGTCAAAGGCCTGAAATGAAAACTTAGTTTTTACAAAAGAAAACTCTTGACCATTTAATATGCTAAAAAATTAAACATATAGGGGCTAACTGCTTTATTTGTATTATTTTAATTGATTATATATCACTAGAGATCGTGATACATAAATAAAGTAGAAAATTTAGCAATCAATCCAAGGAATGAAGGACAAAAGTCTCCCCTTTAATCTCCATAGGAACTGACTTTTATTTATTTATTTATTTTTGTACTGGGGATTGAACCCAGGGCTGCTCCTTTATGTTTTTTTATTTTGAGGCAGGATCTTGCTAAGTTTCCTTGCCTAGACCTTGAACTTGCTTACTTTTGCTAGACAGTGGTCTACTATCATCTTAAATGAGTTTTTCGCTATTTGTCTTCCTTTTTAAAAATTATGTTTGTTCAGGTTTGTCTTGCTGAATTTCTGGCTTATTCTCATGGCATTATAGGAATCTTTCTTCAGTATGAAAGGATTGTGTATTCCCTTGTGGGAAGAGTTTGAACATGATCAACAACATTGTTCTGGGCTGTTATTGCTATGCGAACTATGAAGTTTGATATGAATCATAGTTCTTAGAGTTGGATGGCACCTCAGGGTCCAGTGCCCTGGGAGAAAATTGCTATCTCCATTGCACAGACTTAAAAAGAGAGACTGAAGCTCAGAGAGGTTTCCTGCCTTGTCTGTACGCAGACAGTAAGAGACCCGACTGGATCCACCATGTCTCTTGACACCAGGTGAAATATGCTCTTTGTTTTCTGGAGGTGACAAGCAGAGGATAGAGGAATTTAAGTGGTAAACCTGGGAGGGGAGGGGGTAGTATTTCAAATGAGGAACAGACTGATTAGCAATCAAGACACAGTGAGAGGAAAAGATAAGCCAAGAGCCAGGGCAGGGGAGGTGAGAGACCTGAGTCAGACCTGCATTGTTCCTAAATATATTCGGTATGTGGTTGTAGTTCAGTTTCCATTAGTTCTGTCTATCTGGTCGATCCCAGAGTGATCTCAGAAAATTAGAGTGTTTATTGTCTGATCCTGAAGGTGCCAGAGAAGCTCCCTGTCTGGCTTAAGTAAGCTCCTGATTCGAGCCTTTGCTGCTACAAAGAGCAGCAAGCAGACAAGCTGGCCGCTAGCAGTTTCGCTTCTGTCACCCATCATTGGGGGGGTTTTCCAGCTTGTTGTTCAAGAGGGCATTATAGCAGAAGAACTGGAAGCTTTTACACTCTAGGGGTTACTGGAGATGTTTGTCTGGGTCTTCCCATTTTTTATTAGCAAAAATATTCTCTTGGAAATACTTTCCAAGGATAATTTTATTCTTAAGGAGAAAGAACAAGTGGCAAACACTAATATGTTGAGTAAATCTTTGGAAAATTTTCTCTTTAGAAGTGGTTGGGAGCATGGAATCTGGAGATAGGATGTTTTGTTTCAATTTCTGTCTTTCCAATTCATTGGCTTTGTGACTTTGGTTGGTGTGCTTAACCTCTCTGGGTCTGGGTTGTCTAACCTGTAAAATAGATACAGCAGTAGTACCTACCCCATACAGTTATTATAAGGTTGTTAAAATGAGTTGTTATTTGTTAAAAGCTTGAATAACTGTTCATCACTGTATGAAGGTTGGATCTTGTTCTCATTATCATTTACTGTTTGGTAAGGGAAAACTAGACAAGAACATTCTTCATAGAGAGGCCCTAGGTAAAATTATTCAATTTTCTTTTATTCTACTCCATTACAAAAATGAAGAAATAAACATCAGTATATTCTCTTCCTCTTATTTTCTTTCATAAAGATTTCTTTTAGTTGATTTATGAGCATTTTAGTTCAGGAGAAAGATGATTTTTCTGTTTTTTTTTTCTGTGCATTATTTGAGCATATGTCTTTCAATTACTTTTCTGGTTTTCCCAGGAGAGGGTACACAAAAGTTTTTACACTTATTCCTAGCCCTGATGTATATTTTATCTATTTAGATTACTTAGGTTTTTATGCACTTGTTATTGATTTTCCTCATGGGTTTACAAACTACCAAAATGCCACCGTATTACCACTCATTTTGTTTAGAATTGTTAATATAGGAAAGGGAGACCAAAGAAAGAAACTTAAAAAGTTGCCCAAGACCAAGAGTTGGTGTAAATTAAGAAGCAACAGTTAAAATACAGGGATTGCTACCTTCATATTTGCCAGACATTAGCAATCACTCTGCTAACTAGACTATAGATAATGTAACAGCATCCTTCAATTCTGTTAACTGAAACTCCGTGCATTATTATTATTATTTTTTCAGTCTGAGTTCTGTGGAGTTTACATCTTTACTGGGAAACTTCGAGGAAGTATGTACATTTCAACAAACACTCTGTCAAGCCTTGGAAGAATGTTCAAAGTAAGTGTGGCATATTTGTTAGGATGGCCAGCAACATTGAGTTGTTCTTGTCTTATCTGTTGCCTTACATAAGGGTGCTTTATATTTATCCATTTGCTTTAGTTTTGATACATTGTCCCAGAACAAAATAACAATACAGAGAAGATGCATTAGGTGGTGTTGTTTGCAGTGTCAAAGCACTAGATGTATATCAGGGCTGTACGTTTGGTAAATTATTTCTGACTTTAATTTAAAATCATATCAATTTACTACTTCTGGTCACTTTAAGAGATACATAAGTTCTTTAATTGACCATGGATGACACCTTTGACTCTGATTAAATATTTTCTTTGGTACATTGCAAATTACATGGAAATGGCATTCAGATTATTCTATTTCACATGTTTGTTTTCTCTCATGGGAATTGAACCCAGGGTCTTGTGCATGCTAAACATGCTCTCTACTACTGAGCTACACCCCAGACCATTTTCTCTCTTTTACTCATTCCTAGAATTGTGTCTATTATATTAGGTGTTCAAACACATAAAAGTGAGGAAGGAAAAGTATATCTTTATATGAACTACAAAATAATTTGATGGCTGGTTGCTGAGGCATTCAACTTTGTACTACAAAGTTAACAGTCCTAGTCATTGTGCAATGTATTTCTGTTGCAAGATTAATTTTCTAAATAGCATATCTTGGAGATATGGGTAACTTTCATCTCTATAAAGAAAATGCGGGTAGTTGCCTGTTTCTTTGGTTTTATGGGTCCGGGAGGGCTGTCCAGGGAGAAAGATGGAAAGATCTTAAACTACAGAGACCTGAGGAGTCACTTCAAATGCCAGTAGAGATCTAGATATTTGATATGGAAAGATGTTTACTGAGAAGGGCAGTTTTGCAAACTAGATTCATGATCTTTGTTTGCTGTTCTATGGAGAAACACATAGAAATAAAAGCCCATGGAATATGCCAAAATTATTACAGTAGATATAATTGAAGGGTGTGATTTTGAGTAAGTTTTTCTTTCTCATGCTCCTCTGAGTTTTCTACAAACAAAAAGGGATGACTTTTAATTTTTAAAATTAAAAAAATCTTGAGGCCACCCTGCCAAGCAACCACCAGGCCAACAGGACTATATCATATTCTTTTGTGGTGTGTAGCTTTTGGATTTGATTAGTTTTGTCTGTACTTCATATAAACCAGTCAAGAGTATTTTTAATGTGTCAAGCTAAATTTGAATATAAGCATCTTAGAAATAAACAAACAACCCTACCTACTAATTCTAGGTAAGCATCTGACATATGTATTATAGCTGTATTTGGTGGTTAGAGTTTAAAGCAGTGCTCAAAAAAGCCTATATTTCATGGATAAAATGGTTTTAATACAGTTTCATTTTTATCCATGGCAAAACAGTCAAAAGGTTTACATGCTGCCAAGTTTAACTGGAATCATCTTTCACCTTCTGTTTCCTATTTTACATTCTGCATTTCACCTGTTTCTCTTACAGATTTCCAGAAAATCAACACAAAGTAGGAGGTTGTCTGCTGAATCTCATGCCTCATTTTAAATCTATGTATCTGGCTTATTGTGCAAATCATCCTTCAGCTGTAAATGTGCTTACCCAGCACAGGTAAATTGTTAATATTTTCCCAACTATGTTGTTTTGTATAAGATCCTTTCTTAGGACCACCTCATTTGGAAATCCAAGGCCTCAGTTGAACTCTTGGTTATCCATGTTCTTGATTCCAGGAATTACTTCATTGTTACATGAGTTGGTCATTAATCCAACACATACTTTATTGAGCACCTACTATGTGTAAGGCCTCGTAGTATCTGATGGGAATTTAGTAGTGAACAAAGAATAGAAGAACCCTTCCCTTGTGGAACATAGATTCTTGAGGGAAATACAGGTATTAAATAAAACATTGTGAACACATTGTATTCCAAAAGCATAATTAAAAGAATCTGGGAGAGTTTGGTAATGTGGTATGAACTTAGCCTTCCCCACCCTGATGAATGTTTTATTGGAGTATTATTATATTATTATTCAATGTTTTATTGAATATTTTGTGGGTAGAGGAAGTCACTTCTCGAAACAGGTATTGGTAAGAAATGGTGAAAGAAGACCAACACTTGTGTGAGCTGTGTGCCACAACCTTTAACAAAGGGTTCTAATGATAATTTACACAAATATAAATTGTTTCAGGTTCATGAAGAACAATAAAATAGTGTCTCCTTTAAGAATAAGGGTCTTGGGTCTGGGATTGTGGTTCAGCAGTAGAGCGCTCACCTAGCATGGGTGGGGCCCGGGTTTGGTCCTCGGCACCACATAAAAATAAAGGTATTGTGTTGTGTCCATCTACACCTAAAAAATAAATATTAAGAAAAGAATAAGGGTTTTGGGGGCTGGGGTTGTGGTTCAGAGGTGGAGCACTTGCCTGGTACATGTGAGGCACTGGGTTCAATTCTCAGCACCACATAAAAATAAATAAAATAAAGGTATTGTGTCCATCTACAACTAAAAAATATTTGAAAAAAAAAGAATAAGGGTCTTGGGCTGGGGATATAGCTCAGTTGGTAGAGTACTTGCCTTGCATGCACAAGGCCTGGGTTCAATCCCCAGCACCACATTAAAAAAAAAGAATAAAAGTCTTTTGAAGACCCCAGGATGAATGCCACAACTCTCCTACCTTTCCTTAGCTTCAGACTACCCATCCCTGACACATTCGCTGACACATTCATCTGGACCAGAAAACTGTATGAGAGGCTCAAAGGTGCAGCTTGCCTTTTGATGTCATATGTTAGAAATCCAAGTGGGACAATAGCAAGACTCACGCTCAGGGGCTTTTTTTTTTTTTTAGTTGTATTTGGACACAATATCTTTATTTATTTTTATGTGGTGCTGAAGATCAAACCCAGGGCCTCACATGTGCGAAGCGGGTGCTCTACCACTGAGCTACAGCCCCAGCCCCTCAGGGGTTCTTTTGACTTTAACTCTGGGACTAGATTCAGAGCAGACACAGATTCTGGAGACTGCTTGACACTGAAAGAATAAATTTCTCTTAATCTGGCCTAGATTTAAACTCCCAGAATCAGGTGAGAAAATTAGTTAACACCAACCCTCAGAAGTGACAGAAATTTTGGTTTTTGCCTTGGTTTGTTTAGAGCTTCAGTTGTATTATAGACCTGTTATTTAAGGACATTTTTAGATTTGAATCCAGTAGGTCCTAGCAGAAGGTCAATTTTCTCCCCTGAACAAAGTTATAAACACTTTTGAAATAGCAAACATGGAAGTTGGATTTTAAAGCAAGAGAGGCATGGATTTTTGTTTTTAAGGCAAGTGGTTCAAATGCTTAGAAGTAACATTAGCTAATAATAGTACTGGCAATGTGCCAGGCACATGATACAAAAGCCTACCAGGGAGTTACTATTATTACCATCTCTGCTTTACAGATAAGACATTGGAAGGCTTAGGTTAAGCAATCTGCCCAAGAATTCATAGTTGTTAAGTGGTTGAACCAGAATTCGGGTCTGTTAGACTCCCCCAAAATGCTTTTTTTTTTTTAAAGAAAGAGAGA